CCATGGATTTAAGTCTGACCTGTGGCCCTTTGCTGCGTGTCATCCCCTCTCTCTCTCTCTCCCCCTCCCTCTCTCCGTCTCTCTCTCTCCCTCTCTCTCTCTCTCCGTCTCTCTCTCTCCCCCTCTCTTTCCTCTCATTTTTTTGGCTTTTCGATGTTCAGCTTTATTAAATGTTCCATGTGTGTGAGTGTTGTCACTGATGCATTAGCACACTGCTTTCGATGCAGAAACCCTTAAGAGGAGAAAGTAAAAGCTTGTTGTTCTGGGTAGTTGTGTGGTTTGGTTTCAGCTAGATGCCTTTCCCCTGTTGTTTCCTGCCTATCTACACCAGTGCTCTCCGTCCAGTTGAGACTGTGTTTGTTCCAGTTGACACACGAGGTTGTTTGGGTTTCTGATCATTAACTGTTTCTCCCAGCGTCCCTCTCGCTGTAGTTTCTATCACACTACAGTCGTACACGGACTTTGTGTCAGTCTGGAGGTTCTCTGATCCTTTGGCTTCGTCAGGATCAGTCAGCAGATTACGTGGTAGTGTGAGGGTTTACACATTCACACAGCAGACGACCCGCAGGCTTCATCTGATCTGAGCTTTTCCTGATGATATCAAAACCTGTTTAGTGTTTACAACTCGTAATCTGGATGGGGATCACATTTATATTCCAGCAGCAGAGACTGCGTGGAGCTAATAAGAGCGAGTTTACATTCAGCTTAAACGGGGAAAATAGTGTTTTAATTTATATAAATGAGAGCAATTACTTATATAGAGGGAAACTCCTGTTCTTCTGTGGTTGTTAAGTAACTGCTTAAGTACTGTTTACCTATTAACTTCATTTCCTAATGACGCCTACTCAGCTACTCAACTGTAAATGTGCAGCCAACTTGGAATGACTTTGTCAGAGCCTAATAATTAACTTTGACTGAAGCTGACTTGTGTAGATTTTGAGGAAATTAGAAGTCCGGACATAAGTGATGCTTGTGCATAATTTCTTTTAGGGCTGCAACTAATGATTGTTTTTCTCTTACCAGCTATTTTTTGATTAATCAATGAATCAATTGGTCTATAAGATATCCATCAGATGCCTCTTTTGGTCCAAACAACAGCCCGAACCCCCAAAATATTACATTTGCTTTAATGTAATAGTTAAATTTTCACATTCGAGAAGCTCTAAACAAATAAATGTCTTGAAAAATGATTTAAACATTTTTTTCTGTCGCTCGACTCACTGATTATCAGACTAACTGTTGCAGCTCTAAACGTGTCGGTGTTTCTCAGTGTCTCTGTGCATGTTTGTGTTTCGTGACTTCGTATTTATCACACAGGGGTGGAAAAGGTCTGAGATTGATTACGTGCAGTCTGTTATTTAAGATCATTTGTCCCTTGAAGTCTAGTGTGTCCCCAATCTTAGGGCGGTAACAGTTGTGACGCCGCGGCACGAGGAAGGTGCCACGAGAGGGATTGTGTGGAGTACTGTGTCGTAGCTGCTCTTCGTGGCAGCAGACCAAACTGGACGTGGTAGTCGTGCTTCCTCCCAACGCCGTAGTCTCGCTTTAAGTTGCTGCGCTGCCTGCCAAGTTGTGCTTTGCCGTGCTAACCCGCCCCTGTGGCCCCTGCGGCCCCTGCGCCTAAACCACTTACTGGCCTTCCTGCACCACCCGTATACCCTCCAGCTTCGACATCTCCTGACTGTTTCCCACTAGCTCCTCCTTGTGGCTGCTTTGTTTCTTACAGCGTGTGTGTGAATGAGAATCCCAAGTATGTTGCTGTGTGTGGATACGGGGTTAGATAGCCTAACAGTAGTGTAATTTCCCATGCAAGATGATTGATTTTGCCATGAAAGAATTATGTTTTATTTACTGAAACACTCCATGTACTGTTCTTTGACTGGCTTACTGTAAATGATTCAGTTGTTAATACTGCAGGTTGCTGTAGGTTACACTGGACTAGAGTTAAGGCAGGGCAACAATGGGAAGTTTACGATTCTTTATAGGTAAGGGCGTAGTGTTGTAATGGGACATGGAAGGCGAGGGTGGAGCAGATTAACTAGAAAACGGGCTTCCTAGCAGCAGGCAGAGAGTTGGTTGGGTGGGCGGGTGTGGGTGGGGCTCTGTGGTGTTCAATGGGGCAGCCTAGGGCCAGGAAGTGCTGAACTGTTTTTCTTGCAGGGATGACAGCAGTCAGGAGGGGGAGGAAGGGGAGGAGTTTGAGTGTTACCCCCCGGGGATGAAGGTGCAGGTGAGGTATGGGCGAGGCCGCAATCTGAAGACGTACGAGGCCACTGTGAAAGAGGCAGACGTGGAGGGGGGAGAGGTGCTCTACCTGGTGCACTACTGTGGCTGGAACGTCAGGTAAGACAGGACCTGGGGAGAAATCACCTAACGTCTATATTCACCCTAAAAAAAAAGAATAAAAAAAAGACATCTCTTAACTTTGAATTCAGCTCAAGGGATCACCACTACATGGGTATCCCCGCAGCAGTAACAGATACACCCCTTCCTCACAATTCTGCTTCACCTGATCCAGTCCCATGGTCAGCACTCTGATTGTGGAGAACACTGGGCCATCTAGTGGCAGAAACAGAATTGAGTTTTGGGTCGCTGTGGGTCCAAATCCTCAGCTCCCCTCACTCAGTTCTGTCTGAATCCCCTGTCTGTCTGTCCCCCAGCTGTCTGTCTCTCAACCAAATCCACAGACAGGCTGAATTCGAACCGATTGTAACCCAATCAGTGGATTCTTTGGATCCTACAATGTGATATTTTAAACATGAGCTACCCTTTGGATCTCTGAAAGGCCAACCAAGATGCTGCTACACTCACCTCTACCTCTCAACCCTCTCCCCCCTCCCCAGTGGGTCAGGGTTAATGCAGTGTTCAGTAGAGTGTTAGGGTACCATGACACAGAGGTTAACTAGTGCAATCAGCATTTTCATTGTCTCAATGTTGTTGTGTGGTCCTCTAGCACTCTATTAAAGACAGTGGGGTGTTCTCTGCATTGTGTCTGTCGTGTGCGATGTCGTGAAACTTTTTCATTTTCCTCATACGACCCAAGTAGCACCCTTGGTACTGTTGGAACTTTGTTGAATATGATTTGTGTGGTGGTCGGTGTTAATATTGTTTCTTTCTTCATCGTAAAGGTTTGTCTTTTTCCACATAATACCATGGGATTTTCTTCCTTTGCTGTTGAGGCTTATTGTGTCACAGCAACATGTTGGGGTCAGACAGTAGAGGTGTCTGTGTGGTGGGTGGTGTGAGAGGATATTTCTCAGCTCCTTTCAAAAATCTGAATGATGAAATTGTCTCTTGTCTTTGTACTTGATTTTTTTTTTTTAGATATGATGAATGGATCAAAGCAGACAAGATCGTGCGCCCCGCCAATAAGAACGTACCCAAAATAAAGCACCGCAAAAAAATAAAGGTACGAGTTTGGAGAGCGGTAACTTTTCAACTTGAAGCCGGTTTGATGTCGTGACGCGAGTGACTGACTGTGTTGAATTCTGACAGAACAAAGCGGAGAGGGAGCGAGACAGGTTGGAGAGGCTCAATGACAGAGAAGTCCTCGGCCCTTCGTCCAACACTAACCGCGTCCCACGCTCCAAGTGTGGCCTGGATGTCTTTCCCAAGATGGACGAGGGTGAGGACAAAGGGACTCAGCAGTCTCCAGTCAAGTCTATAGAAATTACTTCTATCCTCAATGGCCTGCAAGGTAGCAACACTCATTAGCCTGTAGCCCTCACGCACACTTACAGCAGATCAGGACTGTTTGACTCTGACGTGGTGTATTTATGCCTGTTGATCTCCTGCTGAAACTAACAGAACTTCTCTCTCGTTTGCCTCAGCCTCTGAGATGTCCACAGACGAAAGTGAGCATGAGGATGAGGAGGGAGAGCATAATGAAGAGGATCGACCGGGTTGCAGAGGCAGCCCCAGAAAGGCCCCGCCAGAGCCCCCGCAAACATCCGAGCGCTGGGAGAGCGGGACCCCTCCTGAAGGATCCAAACCTTCTCCAGTCTCAGGAAAAACCCAGGACTTAGTCAGCACAGAGAGCGCCGACGTCGGGAAGCGCAGAAGCCAACCGGAGTTAGAGGGAGAGGCGAGCACCCGGAAGAGGAAATCTGAGGGCGCAGCAGAGAGGACCCCGAAAGGCCAATCCAAAGCCAAGACCAGGAACACCAGGAGTGCGGACTGGTTGCCTGGAGGCTCTCCCAGGAAGCTGGAGGAGAGAGCGGCTGGTCCCGGGGAGGAGAGGGGGGCCTCGTCCAGCAGCAGTTCAGATGACGAAGGTGCAGCACTGGCCGAGGCCCAGGCGGAGGAAAGTGAGCGAAGCCGCCCAAAAACCAAAGGTTCCCCTTCCAAGAAGTACAACGGGATGAAGGAGAAGACCAAAGGGGGCAGACAAGCTGGGTTCTGGGAGATTCCTGAAAAGAGGGCCAAAATGTCTGGGAATGCAGAGGAGAGGCCAGCTGTCCGCTCCAAAGGCCAAAAGGACGTGTGGTCCAGCATCCAGGCCCAGTGGCCGAAGAAGACTCTCAAAGAGCTGTTCTCTGACTCGGACACAGAGGCCGCCAATTCTCCTCCTCCACCTGTACCTTCGTGTCTGGAGGAGCCGAGTGCCGAACAGGATGCTGGTCCCGAGGACGAGGCCTCAGAGGAGCCGATGGAGAACGACAAACTACAGGAGTTTCCAAGCAGCGGCAGCAACTCCGTACTCAACACGCCACCGACAACGCCCGAGTCCCCCTCAGGAGGAGGCAGTGCTGTGGAGGACTCTGGTCAGCCGCAGCCTTCCTCCCCGCCGCCGTCCATACCCCCTGCCTTGCCTTCAGAGCCGGTTTCTGACACTCTTCCCCCAGGACCCATACAGGAGGAAGTGGCAGGCGGGCGCAGTGAGACGGACAGCAGCACGGTGGAAGTGGAGAGTCTGGGTGGGGAGCTGCAGG